GTGCTCGCGAGGGAAGCCCAGTCGGGTCCGGGCCTGACTCGCCGGCGAGGCGTGAGAGGCCGTCGTCGCCCCCGGTTAAAAGGATGAGGGCCGGCGAGACGGGGTCAGGTCTGATTGCCTCCAGCTCGGCACATGTCCACCAGGCCGGGGCCTCCACCTACGTTCCGATGAATCCGGAAAGGCGCGTCTCGCTCTCCAAAAGTCTGGCCAATTATCCAGACCGGTGGTTCATTGACGCCTGCTCGGCCATCCCGTTCGATCTGCCCAACCAGTTCGAGCATCCTCCACAGGCGATCTCCGCTTCAAAAGCCGTGCTGTCGGCTTGGACCCCGGTGGCCGAGGTGGCGACTGGAATGCTCTCCCCCCCACAATTGATCCAGCACTCGGTGGCGACGATGGGGCGGACCATGGTTGAGCTGATGCATGCTCACGAGGCCCTGCTTAGGGAGATGGCCGCCCACGACAAAGCCGAGGAAGACCTGGCCACCTATAAGGGGAAGGTCAGTGAGCTGAAGGACGAGGCGAGCCGCGTTGGGAGGCTCGAGGCTGAGCTCGTCCTCCAACAGGGAGTGACCGCCAAGGCGGAGGAGGCCGCGGCCAAAGCCGTGGAAGATCTGGCCCGCGAGAGGGCGGAGTGGGCCGTGCGCATGGCCGAGGTCGAGGCTCGCCATGAGGCCGATCTGAGCCGGGAGAGGAGGCTCCGAGCCGAGGAGGTCACCGCCGTGGAGGAAAAACACAAAGCCGACCTCGTCCACCTCGCTGAGCTCCATGCTGCCGAAATCGCCGAGCTCAACCGAAAGCACGAGGAGACGAGGTCCCAGCTCTCCGATTACGGCAGCAGGATGTCTGCCCAGGTTTGCCTCCTGAAAGAGGCCGCCAGGCATATCGACGGCGAGCCCATCGCTTTGCCCCCGCCCTTGACGTTTGCGGAGGTCACCGTCCAATACTTCGAGGAGATGAGGGATTGCATGGATAAGTCTGTTGGAACCCACGAGGATCTCGATATGCACAAATCACAGACAAACATTCAA